GTGTGTGTGTGTGTGTGTGTGTGTGCGCGTGTGTGTGCGTGTGTATGTGTGTGTCATGTTTAAGCATCAATAAAGTCAGAAGAAAGCATCGGCCATGTTGCGAAGTCACCCATCGGCCAGCCGGGCCGTTATAATCCCCTGGAGGAGGAGGAGAGGGAGGAGGAGGGAGAGGAGGAGGGGTATTTATTTTAGGATTTTTCTAGATGATGGAGAAGTTACAGTGTGGCCTTCTGGAGGAAAACCGCCACAAATAAACAAACAAGAAAGGAGGAGAGAGGAGAGGAGGGGGGACGGAAAGCAGCGGTGCGTCTGTGTGTGTTTCCTCCGGTGTGAGTGGATCCATCCCACACACACGCGCACACACACACACACACTCACGCGCGCGCACACAACGTGCTGCTTGTCTTTTGTCTCCGCGCGGCTTCACTCCCGCAACTGAACTCAACTAAAAAAAAAGTCCAAGGTGAACTCGAATCGGGCCGAGAGAGCGAGCACGAGAGAGAGAGAGAGAGCGCGAGGCGAGCGAACCGCGAGGCCGGGGCACCGAGAGAGGAGGCAGGGAGAGAGCGAGGGAGAGGAGGAGAGCCGAGGCTGTTACCGACCAGGGGTCATGGGGGGAGTTGTCCGTGCCGGAGGACAGGCTGCTCTGGCTCCCTTCCGTGTCCATTCTGCTCTCCGCCGCTGGTATTCCCGCACTGGGGGGCGAGGAGGAGAGGCAGCGAGGCTTCCACCGTCGCTGCTGCCGTGCCGCCGCTGCTGCTGCTGCTCCAGACTCAGGGGCGGGCAGCTCGGCGGGAGGGAGGGCAGAGGTGGGGGAGGAGGGAGGATGAAAGGAGGAGGGGTGGAGTGAGGAAACACACGCGCTCATAGAGAGAGGCAGAGACTCCGCCCCCTGCCTCCCTCCCCCATCTGAGCCCAGGACCGCCCCCTGCTCCCCCTCCCCCCGGCCAGTGGCGCTCTCTTCTGTCTTCCCTTTGTGGTGTTTCCCTACCGCTCCTGACGCTGCTCCATCACCACACTGAACATGTTGACTGGTCAACCTGCCCTTTTTATGTTTCTGTTCACGTATCTATAAACATAACATGTTCCTGTCATTAGGACGCTTCCTAAACTAATTAATATGAGTCAATTAATTAACCCCAATCCAAGATGGCCACCTAAACAAGCCTACAAACACAAGGAATAAATCAGAAAATGAGTTAAGATGCAACTTGGTGGTAGCTGAGGTTTAATTGCTAATAGAGTCGGCTCAGTCTGTTAGCAAATATCTTATGAACCATTGGACGGGTTTTAATGAAACATTTAGAAAGTATAGGCTACAAGTCTTTTCAAGATGGCCGCCACAGCTAATTGACAAAAATGACAGTCAGATATTGAGTTTAAATTTTGTCTGGTAGAAGTCATCCACATTAGGGACTTTGATAAAAAATTCAAACTTATTTTAAAGTTGTTTTTCCTTTTTTGTAAGTAAGTAAGTAAGTAAGTAAGTAAGTAAGTAAGTAAGTAAGTAAGTAAGTAAGTAAGTAAGTAAGTAAGTAAGTAAG